CCAAGTAAGTGATATATATATTCAAAGGAACAGTAAAATTTTATTTTTTTGGGTTAGTGAAGAGATGGAATAAATAATTTTTTCACCTAAACAAAAGTTTAATATTAAAATACCCCATATATTTATGATTAAAATGATCATTGACTTATTTATCTAAAATATATTCACGCATTATCCAGATAAATGCAGTGAATAAAAAAGTTAGCAAAAAGCGATCGAACAGAGCCATGGTCCATGGTGCAAATTAAGAATTAATTGTAGTGGCATCACACCCACCATCCGATGAATACTCCCAATGTCCCTTTTAATCAAGGATGATCGATCTCATTGAGTCATCAATGGGATGATCAATCTCTAACCGCCTGATGTATCGACTTTTATAATGGGTGCGTGGCTTATACTACTGGTAAACACCGGATCCCTTCTTAGATTAGTGGAAGGAATTTTTTTAATGAATTTTATGGGTCAGCCTGACGCCGCACAGACTTAGCTACCTGCTCCCTTTTATGTATGTGGGCCATGATGATTAAATTTTCAGTTTTAACTATTTCGTTTTAGTAAATTTTAATTGCTAATTGGGTAGCTTGGAATAACAAAAATAAACTATACAACCCTAAAAAGTGAAGATGCCTCGTATAACCAGTTTAAAAAGGAATTAAAAGGAAAAAAAATGGCAAGTCGGCAACCTAGAATTTCTTTTTAGTGTATATATGAATGAATCTATGAACAATGTTTACAATTACCACAAAGTTAAGCTTAATATATATCCAAGTCTAGAACACTAAATAAGAGAGTAAGTGATGCTCAAGGAGAAAAAGAAAAGCAGCAGAATTGAAAAGAAGGAAGACATAGGATTTATTTATTAATCGCACCTTGGATTGTATCTGAATGTGGCCGGTAAACGAGAGAGAGAGGAGATATTGACGCGGCTCAATCCGAAAACATGGCTATGGGTCGTCTAACCATGTCTTCAAATTGAGGCACGTCAATACCTCAGCTTTTCTGATTGACATACTCTCTCTCAATCGAACCACAGCTCCTGAACGGCCACGGTACTTCTTGTGCAATTTTGCAGAAGAACCCGATCCTCAGAAAGAGAGAATTTGCCTTTAATTTCCTACTTGTAATGAACCATTGCCGTCGTTCAAAGGTTGCCTTTACAGTACAGTACAGTTACTCAGCACGGAAATCTGCCTCATATTCCTCTTACTGGCACTGCTACTGACCTTTTGCTGCCTAAAAAGGAGAAGAACAAAGAGAAGCAGAGAGACGATTGCTTGCGAGAAGGAGAGGGACATAGAAGAGAGCAGTAATGGTTATATGTTGATTCATAATCAAATAGTTCTAAGTTCCCTTGCTTCTCATATGGAATTCAGCTTAGAAACTCGAAGTGGTTCCTCTAGTTATCTTTGGATTCGACGTCTTTGCAGCCTGGGTGAGACGGGGGGATAAGGGTGGGATCTTTGTTGGAGGCTAGGATACTGTTTGATGAAGAGCTCTGTAGGGTTTCAAAGGTCGTCAACCACTATCCCAAGCTAAATGAAAGCCACTCATTGAATAATCCGTAGACAATCAGGGAAGCTATTTGAAGGAGAAAAAGATGGGTAGGATCTAAATGAACCCCTTTAACTTGCTCTATGATTTGGTTTGGTATGGAAGAAATCTAAAAGCTAAATGCAGAAGAGAAGAGGAAGAATAATTCTAGTGTTAGGTGAGTAGGTGCAACTTCCAAGTTATTATTTCTCCCTTTTTATCTTACCATTCTAGAAAATTGTGCTGCTGATGTGTGGGTTAGAAGAACCGTTTTCTCAGAAAATTGTATCATTTTTTTTGTTTGGAAACGTTGCTGAAGTATGACATTTTCTAGAGCAACAACATCACTTTCTGTTTGGTACCGGTGCTTCATATCTATTTTTAGCACTAGTACCCATTATAGAAAGTCTACGTCAATACCACATCATGTCCTCATTGATAGCAATGAGCTTCAATTTGAGAAAATGTCAAATTCAACATTGCTCCAAACCACGCCTTTTCAATTTTCAAGGCATGACTTGAAACACCGTTTTTTATAAAAAAATAGTTCTAAACATATTGGTGTTTCCTGAAACACGTTTTTTATGAAAAAAACGATTTCAAACATATTAACATTTTCTAGAGCACCATTTTTTTCTAATATGGTGTTAATGTATCACCGTTTTCTGGAGCAACAGCATCAATACCAAACAAGCTCTTAGAAAACTAAGTGCCCGTCTATTTGGGAGGGCTTTCAATAGCCGCTTATGGCGTTACATGAACTGAGAAACTGAAAGGTCATGAAGTCATGTTCGATAAAAATCTGTAATATGAAAATAGGCTTATATTGATCAATAAAATCGGCTTTCCAGTAAAGCTATTTCAAATAAATTTTCCGAAGCAATTCGGTCAACCCAACGAGCTCTAAATATAAAATAAGAATTTATACATTACAATTAGCCATTAGATAAAAACAAAAGTGCCTAAATCTCAAGCCCCAGTTAAATAAAACTATTCCAAGATGAGAACTCAGTGTTCAACATATAGACATATTATGAATCTTAGATGAATGTAAGATCCGATCCATTTGCAGCCCTATCCAACGTTATTGACCAAAATCATGATCAGTACTCAGTAGTTTAGGCTAATCATGCTTTTTCCACTGGTTATCAAAAACAAAACAAAACTGGTTCTCATACTGAAATCAGTGTCGTACGAAACATGTACAACCACCACAAATTAAGGTGAATCAGCAAAGTGGGGCCAATCCAACATGATTCCATTTGGGTGGTTGTGATATACCATCAAGGAAGTGCTCTTTTCAAGTTAGGTTTGGTTAAATCCCAAAACATGTTGCCACGCGTAAATTATGAAAGCTTGCTAAGCTGCCAGCTGATTAGAAAGCCATCATCTAAGCTCAATACAGAGAGACGAGCGGCCGATTGTCTTTTGAGTAATCAAGCATAATTGGATAAAATAAAAGACTCGATACAGATTACAGAGTTTGTCTGAACCCTCCACCCCTTCTATTTGCACAAAGCCCCTGTTTATTAGGTCTGTGAGAAGAAAGCCCGTGATGTTAGCAATGCTCTTGTGAAAACTAAACCACACTAAGATTAAGATGGTGTTTGGCATCCTAGTGTTTTTCTGCCACTGCCCTTGAGCATAATCAGTAAGTAATTCGTCTCCCTGGTTCTGCAGCAGTTTTGCCAGGATGTGCCAACTAGATGTTTAATGCCGTTGCATTGGCATTTTTTGGATAAAGGGGGCAGAGAATAAACACGATTTTTAGTTAGTTAAGTTAGAATTCAGATGAGATGTCGCTAATTTACCTTGTTTAAATGCAATAATATGATGCCAAACAGTCCCTTTAATCACTAGGTTGTGTTTGGTACTATTGTCACTTCTACTTGCAACTTTTTATGTTAGTTAATACAAATTTTTGAAAAATTGTTTTGACACACCACATTAGATAACCACTTTCATTAAAAAAAATATGGATATTGGAATAAGTATTGGCATTTACCACATTTCATGAAGAATCAACAGTGATACCTAATATTGTATTAATAACTCATTTGTGGTAGAAAAAACTATATATTTTTATAAAATTTGTATTAACCAAAGTAAAACATTGCAAATAGAAATGACAATAATATTAAACACAAACTCAATGCTCACACCAAATCTCTCAGTGCTGAACACCGGGTTTTGGTAGAGGGATGGAGTCCGGATCTGCTGACCACCAGACCCCAAACGTGCACATCAGGAAAATATCTTGTATATAGATGCTCCCGATGTGCAGCTGTACTGTCTTGTGGCCAGTGTTTTGTGGTCAGCTGATCAACACTCAAAACTCAAAACTCAAGGAGGGTCTCTACTCTCTAGTTTTGGGTCGAGCCAATCAGTTATGAATCAAACCATAAGGTGCCCAAACATTGAGGTGACAAATGGATAAATTGCGTCGTCCGGTGTGATTTGAAGATCAACCCATTCACAAACTATCCACATTAAGGATGATCATGGGCCAGGCTGGGCCAGAGGTAAGTTTTTAACCTTACAGAGAAACGATGGCTTTTAGGGCTACCAGGCCTGATCCAGCATTCCAGCCTATATACCCTGGGCTTGATAATATTTACTGGCCGAGATTGTGCATCCGCACATTGTCTTTAACAAAAAAAAAAAAACATGTAGTGTTGAGGATAGGGGGCATAAACCTTCGTCCTACAACATGAGCCCGGATCGGCTGCTCGCTACAATGTGTGTAATAGACTATCTTACTTATATGAATATAGGGTCAGTTTGGAAAAGGTACAAATATAAATATTTACAGTACAAATGCATATAAATTAATACAAAATATAATTTTGCACTCTGCATATTTATATTTATACTCCTCCCAAACTGAGTCATAAGTTCTAGGAAGGGTGTAAATACAAAAATGTTAAATACAAATATATTATTTGTTATTAGTAAATTATCGACTGATGGTGATTCGATTGATAAAATCTTTGGCTGGTAAATAAGTAAATAAATGAATAAATAACTGTTGCTGGCAAATGCAGACCCACTTCGATTTCCCTATAAAAAAATAAATTCTGTGACGCTTAATTGTATGATACCGAAAAGCTTTCACCAATCAAAACCCACCGTCAATTTGATGAATGCCACTTCATTGATCGCCACTTCTAAGATACAGGTTGATTGCTATCAGCTTTTTTCTAGGTACATGCCTTTATCGTATCATTGTCGAATTCGCTATTTTGATCGAATATATTTAACTGGTGACAAAATCCACTAGTTCCTGATCATCCGATTTAACTTTGCGGGTTCGGATCAGGGTCTTGTGGGTGTAGATATGGGAAGAGTTTGTGGGTGGGGAGATATGGAGTGTAACTTTGGCGGTTGTGTTGTAGAGAAAAAAAAAAGTAAAAAACAGAAAACATCGACGGTTGCGTATAGATACTTTTTTCTAATAAAAACAGAGAGAAAACAAACCACCTGACAAGGTCAGTCCGCTAGCAAGAGGAATCAATATTCAATCTTTCCCGTAAACAACAACAATAAATATACATAAAAATTGTCACAAAGCTCATCTTACAATAAAATTTAATCATAAAACGACCAGCCATCTCCATGCCCAGAATCCTCTTCATATGTCACAAGTTACAACATACAATGAAAAATGATATTCAAACAGCAGAAAGGCTGGCAAACTTCCCAAGATCGTAAGAATATAACTTGATCCTATTTGACAAAGACAATCCTGTTGCTAATGGTAGACCTCGGAAATCCGAGTCATCTTGCTCTGCTAAATCATCTACAAAAGCAGAAACATCTCCAAGAAGTTTGAAGGTGATTCTACGCGCCTGTATCTGTCTTGGGAAATCGAAATACATAGCTGTCCCAGCTCGAGCTTCTGGCAACCGGTATTCTCCAACAGTAACTAAATTGTTAGGTTCCTGCAAAATTATTGGTCATAGCTTCAACCTTATTATTTCTTTTCTTCATTGATACCAATTAAGCCAATGACACTGGACTAGTGATGTGTTATAAATAAGACATGTTCTAGATTGAAGCAATTAAATTGCAGTTCATGCACGAGATTCAAGGATGTGTCTAGACAGTTTCTGATGTAGGGCATGAAATAGCTCATTCTTTTTAAGCCATATCTGGGCATCCGGCCACTAAACAAGCAGCAAAAATGAAGATAACCTAACAATTGTTGCTTTTTACAGCCATACAAGTACAAATTTTCATGAATGCTTTGTACCATCAAAAACTGAACCTTAAATTACCAATCCGATGAGCTGCATTGCATTATGACATGATTTTACAGAACACCCAAAATATGCAGATATATGTTGGTGACGGGAATCACTATTTTTGGACTTAACTTTTTAATTATTCTTAGAATTAATTTGGTAGAAGTTAGTTTCTGTAAGTGGTTTGGCCATCATAATTAATGTGAAACTTGTATTATGTCATACGAGTCTTGTCTTTAAGTTCTTTTAACAGGTCTAGTCAGCTTCCAAGTCTTCCTACATGATGTTGCCTTTAGTTCTCATAAATGCTAGTTACAATAGTTATGCCAATTCTGATAATGCAATAGTAGCATAGATAAAGCAGATTCATTAACTACCTGGAGAGCAGATACTTGAATAAACAAGACTGCTGGAGAGATACACCTGTCTTCTAAACAGGTTAAGGAGGTATCCCAGGCACTCACATCCAAAGAAGGTGAATGGGTAATACGAGGCTTTATCACATTGAAAGCATCAAGACGAAATCCAGCCAGTGGAGGTGATGCAGGTGATAAATACTGGTCCAAGACTAAATCATTGCCAAACAATCTTTCAGCCTCAATTGGAACCTTGAAAGACAAGACAAAAAGAAAAAAACACAAGTGATGAACTAAGATGCTACTCAGCAGAAAATAACTGGAAAAGAAAACTGGATGTATAAGATTACTGAGTTAGAAATATCATACCTTAAATCGACTCAATTGTGGAGCTCTCTCCAACCAGGATTTCAAATTTATCTTGTCAAACCCTTGTGATGCAAGCCCCAGATCTTTCCTTACAGGACTTCCAACTACTAAAAGCCTTTTGGCATGAAGACATGGATTGCTTTCAACTGTACTACCTCCAAAAGAGGCACGATGGCTAAATGCAAAAGGGTTTTCATCTAGAGAAAGAAGATCAAACCCTTTTTCTAAATTAACAGAACTTGAACCAGGCCGCCTAAGACATAGAGATATCCAAATGATACGGCATCTTATTGAATTCTTGAAGGTGAATTTCACATGCCTTGGAATATTACCATCTCTACCTGATCTTTCTGGCCCATAAATTTCAGAGGAAGATGAGATCAGGGATTGGATGTCCCATTTTCCTACGCATGACCTTTCTTCCTTATTTATCTTATTGCTGGCCCATATTTGTACCTGTAAACAATGATGGAAGGCATATCAAAGACAGGCATATAGGTAGTAGAAAACACAGTGCAGAATAAGGAGGAAAAAATAAATTGTTACATTTGAGGGGGGGAAGGTTAAGGTACAACTAAGCGTAGAACCAATGTTCTCAGACTCAGAGAAGACACAAAACCATTTTGGTCACTCAGTTATGGGTCAAATGGTCCAACCATATAGTTCAGACATTTGACTTGCTCAAATAAAAAATACAAGAAAAAGAACAAGAAAAAATAGCAAATAGTTCCAGATTATCCTTTAAAGCTATTTGGTATCAAAATAAACTCAAAACAATAAATTTTATAGGTTTAGACAGGTATTAATACACATATTTTAGGTAGATTTGACCAAGTCAACATTCTAAGAATCAGCAGTCCATAACCATTTTGGCTGGCTAGTTCCCAGTCCAAACGTCCAGTCTGGTCCAAGTCTGACAATGCTGGTAGAAAAAGAAAAAAGCAATAATATAAAACAGGGACAAATACCTGCTTCTGCACAAAAGAGTATCAATTAAAATAAAACTAATGGTTATAGCCCCCAGTCTTGGAAAAAATAGCGTAACTATTTAAAAGGGTTCCAACCTATCATGCATGCATATAGATATACATTATCTGCACAGGAAGAGGCTATTTAGGAAGAGACTTTATTTAAACCTTAAAGTACTTACATCACTCAAGAGATCTTAGAAACAGCTTTTAATAGAAACTTAAATGAGAATTAAGATGAATACTTTCAACAGGGAAGCTTAGATCGTGTTTGATAACTGCTAAATTAGATACTGAAAGCACAAACAAACAGCTTAAATCCATGGGCATTTAATATGGAATCTTTTCTAATTCCACTTTCAGCACCCATTTCAGCTATTATCCAACACAACCTTGATAATAAAATGTTAAAAATAGGGGGAAACCAGATTGCCTGGAGAATGTTCTGCTAGTTGATGCAAGATATCAATAGCTGGGATGAAGTGACTTTCATATTTTGCATATTTCATAAATAGATACATATCATAACACATAAAAGGAACAGAAATTACAATGTCAACATGAAAAAAAAGCATTCCCAATATTCATTTTGATCAAACAAATGATGGCGCAAAGTGGAAATGTAGTTCAGTACTCACAGTAGGCGAGTCTGTTGTTGAATAGCCACATTGACTAACAAGTAAGATCACCCCAGAGACATCAGAAAGACTGCCAAGAACAATGGCAAATTCAACAGACGAAGTATTGGCAGGAGCTCTCCAATATGCATGCTGTGGTCCAGAATCAAGTGGAGCTAGCAATGACAAGGATGGCACTGAGCCTACTGCCGTTTCAATCTATGATAACATGCAATCTAGTAAGATATCAATACAAATACAGTAAAAACCACAAAAACTGTGCATTACAACCAACTTCTGATGTTCATCACTATATGACAAGTACTGATTATTTTAGTTGAATATTGGCTTCTTGATCCTTAGCCTTGATCCAAGTCTTCAACCCTAAATATGCTATAGATTTCACCGAATAGTTCATGTTAATTCTCTTGGTTAATAAAATATCTATATGGCAATAGTAAGTAAGCTTAGTAGCCAAAAAGCCATGGATAATAACAAAAAAAATCTATGTTATGAACATATGTTTCTGATTATGCAGTGAAAATGAAACAGTTCAGGCTTATAATCAAAAATAAATAGTGAAAAGTAAAGGCATCATCCGGACTTTACCGAATGCAAAAGGCTGGCAGATGGAAATTCAGCAAGTGATTCCTCTCCGTTAAGTAGTTTCTTTATGATATCAACAGCTTGTTGACCATCAGACATTCTGTTTCTTTCAATAAGATGATCCATTGAGGTAAGCCCCATCACCTCATTCATAGCTTTATATGCTGCACTATCTGCACGAGCACTTCTCCATGAGCTAACCAAGACCCTGACATAATCCAAGATCAATGCATCAAGCACAATGTCACTGCAGCATGATTTACAGATAACTCCATCCAGTATGGTAGAACGGTTTGTGGAGACACCATCTGTTTGGCTACCATGGCTAGACCCACTCCTATTTGACAAGCCATTAAAGCCTGATACTTCCCTTGAGTTGTAGCTTGAAAGCAGGAGAGCTCCTCTTCCAGCACAGCACACTTTACACACCTTTCTTTCACATTGAGAACATAACAAAGTGGATGGCAATACTCCTCCATGGGAAACCATAGAAGGCGCATATGCAGCAGGATGGGTTACAGCGCGAACCTCACAAATTGCACCAGAACAAGTTTCTCCAATTCTAGTAATATTCCAGAAATCTATAGGATTATCATCAAGAGTCTCAAGACCAATTGCAGCAGTAACTTTGTCCTCTAGTGCAGCCTGCCCCAGCAGTGCAAGGTTGTTTGCAACTCTGCATAATCGGGACATGTAAGAATCATCAAGTAATCCATTTGGATTTATGGTAGCAGGATCAATGCCAACTGATAATAAAACTCTATCCCTGTCAGCAGCAGAAATATTTGAACGCAAGCGTTCAATTTCAAGTTGCATGGCTTCCATGAAGTCTAGCTTCCTTTCCTGAAGAGCATAATTTAAGAAGGTAGTAATAGTTAGCTGAAATTGCATCATATTTTATGTTTGAAGTGAAAGTTTATACATGAAAATGTGGAAAATAAAACTTCACTCAAATAAACTACTAACTGCTCGAGTTATTAAAAAATGAATCTGAAGAAACAATGATAGCTACAATACCATATTCAGACCAGTCAGGGCTTTCAAGCAATTTATGTAATGTTGGGTGGCACTGTCATCTGGACCTCCTTCATCTTTTGGTGAAGAGAATTTAGAATCTGCTTCTGGACCATGGTATTTAGTAACAGCATCATCTAAGAAATCAAGCAACTCACCCCCCACAGAACTAACATTTTTTGTCTGTGGTTGAGCAATGGAATCGGGAAGCATGGCATCACCAGTCAAGAGGTCCACCCAGATGCCAGAGGTGGCATTTGGTTGTGTTGATGGAACATTTCCATTGGCTAATGATGCACCAACAAATGGGTTGGTATCAGAACCACAAAGAAAAGGATTGGTCTCCTGGGATTTGTTATTGGTCTCCTGAAACTTGTCAAGGAGCTTGCAGAATTTTTCACCATGCCCTTCCGTTGAAAGTATACCCTTCCAAGGAAGAGAAACTCCAAGTACCTCTATCTGTAACAAGATTAACTAAATAAATTATCATAAAACAATTACAACTAGAGGAAGAAAAATAACATTAGAGAATACCAGGAGAGATTTTATCAAGTCAATTGCAAATCAACAGTAGCAGTTGAGCAAAAAAATAAAGAAATGTATAAAGAGTAAAAGTCAACCCTTTCATGGACTTAAAACAACAATTCCTGACGAGTTTTTTTTTTTGAAGAAGAAGAAGAAGTATTGAATTGTATTAGAAGTAAAAACCAAATACATCAGCTCATGTACAATGAAAGCTTGTACATTGGGAATATACAAAAAAAAAATAAAAAATAAAAAAAACTGAGAAGTCAATGAAAAAAAGGTCCAGCTTGCAAAAAAGATAAAAGATGGACACCATTGAAAGCCCTTTGTACACTTAACCAAGAACACAAAAGCCAATAATTGTGTTACTAACTGAAGCTAAATCAAAACAGTTGTAAAAAATTTGGCAGTTTCTTTCCTTCCAAATAGCCCACAAGATGGCACTTGGAAAATCCTCCAAAGCAGCTTGCCCCTAGCATGAAAACCCTTGATAGTCTACCTTTGTAGAAGCTGAAGGACTGATTCAGGCAGGCAGGAACGAACATCAAAGCAAGACCAAGCCATTTCCCACAGCTGATGAGAAAAATTACAGTGGATAAAAAGGTGACTGGAGGATTCAGGGACCTCATTACAAAAAGGGCACAAGATACTAGGAAGATGCATCCCCCTTCTGAGCAGATGATCTGATGTTAGGCATTTACCAAGACCAAACCAGGAAGGCAATTTTCGAGGGGAGCATGGGAATTCCAGATCAAAGCCCAAAGGAAATCACTGTCCTAGACACAAGGTTGTTGTAGAAGGACTGAGATGAAAACTTAAATCACTATCCTCTCTAGACATAATGTATGGTTGCATTATCTTACAAACCATAGCATATTACATCAGAACATTTTATGAGCCATGGCTATTCTTTCATTCTTAACAGTCCTAATCTCTACTCAAAAGCAAAAAATAAATAAATAAATAACATCCTTAGAAGAAAACAAAAACTAAATAAAAATTGAGGACAAATTTAAATGAAGAAAGAATGTTACTATGTGAAAAGACAATTCAAAGGCCAATATTATCATCACCAGTAAAAGCATAATTATCCCAATAACATGCAGTCAGCAATTTAAAAGACCATCTACAGTACCTGTAGATAGTTCGGTCACATGCAAAAATGACCATCTACAGTACCTGTAAGAAGAAGTGATTTGTTGCAAGTTGAAGAGGCTAGAAGGGCTAGGGGCAGACTAAAAAGGAAGTGAGTTCAAGTAGTAAGAAATGACTCAAGCACTCATTATTTAACAATGGAAATGACACTGAACAGAATGGTAGCAGGATTTACATTGAGAAGAAACTCTGTAAAATCTGGGTCAAATTCAATCCAATACTAACAATAAATAGTAACAGAAAATACATCTTTATCAATAATAACAGAACATTGAAGTACACTTTTGCCATGAATAAACAGAGTTGAGGGATCTGAAAAAGATAAGAAAGAACTTGGAGCAGAACAAGTTGATTATACAGAAAAAAGTTTATTTCAGCCAAATAAAAATTATAATAAGGTTAACAAAAATACTTCAGAATGTAGGGGTTCCCTTTGGCATGCAATATCCCATTCATATATTTGTCACATCCATCATCATCCAGATCTTGTTCAACTTTCAAAGCCGAACCTCATGGACCCACTACATAAATCCCATGTAGCTATTCCATTCTACCCAGGGCCAAAACCTGCAGTAGGTATATCCTCGAATCTTTGTACTCAATGTCTTGACAATGCAAAAAACAAAACTACGGTTTCAATCTATGAAGGCTCAATTTTATAGTTCACTATTACAAGCTTCTTTGCATATTCCCTTTGTTAAAGGGAAACATTCTCTGGGACATATATATATGCTTTGAATAGAAAATCATGTGGTTTGGATATGGTGCAAGAGGTTTTTGATAGAAATATAGATCATAGGTCTGTGGTAAAAATTATTAATTTTGGTCATAGTAATTCTACTTGGGTTTTAAATTGTCTTGGTTACTTCTAAGTTGTGTTCCTCTATGAAGGCTCAATTTCATAGTTTGCTATTATAATCTTCTTTATATATTCCCTTTGTTACAGGGAAACATCCTCTGGGACATATATATGCCTTGAGTAGAACATCATGTGGTTTTGGATATGATGCAAGAGGTTTATGGTAGAAATATAGATAATAGGTCTGTGGTAAAAATTATTAATTTTGGTTATAGTAATTCTATTTGGTTTTAATTGTCTTGCTTACTTCTATGTTGTGTTACTTGAGTGTTAGTTTTTAATCTTCTAGCAGATGAGTTTTAGGTAATGAGAAGTTGATCAACAATCTATCTCTTCTTTTTTGGAACTGCTGTTTAGGTGTGCTCGAGGCAGTGTGTGATCCTCTTCATGATGTTATGAAGTTACTTCTTCACTGGATACCACAATGAGTGGGACATTGGGGGAATAACCTACAAGAGAAACAGAACTGTCAATAACAACTTCCCTCTTCCATTCATCCATGAAGACCTCTTGTTCATGATAACCTCTTGGCTTCAGCACAGGAGGAATTAAGGGCTCTCAGGAATACAGTATTTTGTTTCAGATAGGGAAGGAAACATAATTGGTCGTGTTGCAGTCTCATAAGCAAGGAAGATTCTAAAAGAGCATAGGCTATGGCCATTCTTGTTTACCTTAGGGGTATGATCTCAGGGTTCTATACCACAATCAGATTATGACTGCCTCCTGAGAGGTCCTTGGATGTTTCCCTAACAGTTTAATGAGGTTATATAGATTTTCCAGTTCTTGTTCTTGTGTCTCTAGATTGGTTCTTACTTCTTAGGGAGGTTGAACATTTTTTACATGTCTTAGGGAAGTTTAACTCCAAAGCTGACGTCTGAGAAAGAATGCATTGTTAGTCCTCTTTTCATTGAGCACTACTCGACCCCATTCACCATCAGCCATGGACATCAGAAAAGCCAATATGTGCCTTACCACCCAACTCTGGTGGATGTCAATGTGCAAAGTTCATCAAAACTCTAACATAACTCTTCAAACCTTCATGTATCAAAGGGTGATAATAAGATACATCGCTTCTTCCATCTCATACCCTCAACCCCTTTCCACAGCAAACAAAATAACAACCATGGATCTAGAGGTATATTGTCAAACCTGAACTGGACCATCTGATCATACAGACAGAACCAGGAACCAGAAGCCAAAAAGGTTTTTTGATTGCACAGTTCTTAGAAATGTTTACTTGATCTTGGTCAAGCAATGTTTACTTGATCTTGGTAGGAGGAAGAATTACCCTAATAAGAGCTACCTTGGCTAACTTACCTACYTATTATTTGTCTGTCTTTAGGATACCAGTTAGGGAAGCTAGGAAGCTGGAGAAGTTGATGAGAGACTTCTTATGGGAGCCGGGACAAGAGAAAAAGGATCAYTTGGTTAATTGGGAAATTGTGTGCAGAAGTAAAGAAGAGGGGGGTTTGGGAATTGGGAGGGTAATTAGAAAGAATCAAGCTCTRTTAGGGAAATRGTTGTGGAGATGGCCTTTGGAAAGAGAGAGATTGTGGCATGAGGTGATGGGAAGCATTCATGGGAGGTCAGAGAATGGATGGGATGCTGGTGTATCGAGGCAAACTAACCTAGCAGCACCTTGGAAGGCTATTCACAACACCCTTCCTCAATTCCTCAATTTTATCAGGTATGAAGTTTGTTCTGGCAACTCTATCCTTTTTTGGGAGGATATTTGGGTAAGAGACTCACCGTTAAAGGATTTTTTCCCCTCGCTTTTTTCTATTTCTTTGTACAAAAAAGAGGTGGTCTCAAAATTTGTTTCACCCTTGGGAACACCCTTAGATCCTACTTGGGATTTTGGTTTTCGTAGAGGACTTAGGGATGCTGAAATTGAGTCTCTTTCTTTTTTGCTTGGGTGTCTTAATCAGGTTTGTTTGGATCCCTCCA